CGGTTATCTATTGAAAGTAGGAAATGGGCACGAGGTTCGCCCTGAAATAGAGAGTGTAAGCGAGTGTGGACCTCGGGTGATTATGTAACCGAGGTCACGTGACATGCGGTGAGGCCATGGATGGTTGAAGCCATCACGACAATACCGCAATCTCTTCGGCATCGGAGTCGCCATCGCGGGAACGCTTGAGGCCACGGGACTGCTTCGCATTCTCTGTTTGAAACATTTTCATTCATCAAAATTCAAAAGTTTTCGGTCCTGTTTCTATGGTGACTTACTCTTGACCTCGGCATCCTGCTGTCGGTACTGCAAAACGGCATAGACCTTCTCGCGGAAATTGTCAATCGCCTTCAAGAAAGGAAAAAAGAAGTAGGCAGTCTCAGTGACGCCATTATTCTTGTCGAGATGACGCTCGCGCGCCTCAATGATCTTGCGGATGATCTGCGTGATCTTTGGAAGGGAGAAGGAGAATCTCCACGACGGCTGAACCATGCGCAGGTTGCCAAAAGTCTGCTCACAGACCTCGTGCAAGGTGCGAATCTCGGGGTTCTCCTCAAAGGTTCGGACGCCGACATCCATCACCTCCTTGATGCGCGCAGCAGCACGCATCTGTCCGCCCTGCGAGGGCTCGAAACGTTTCTCCTGAAAGGGGAAGATGATGTTGGCCATCAGGCCGGAGTAGCGGTAAGCGAGAATCGGGGCGTGGAAGTCGACGCCGAAATCGAGACCGGGCAGGCCCTTCAAGTTGGAGTGGCCGGTGTAGTTCTGGGTAGGGAGCGCCTTGTTCAGCGAGGATATGTCTATGACGCTCTCCTTGTTGTCGACTGGGGTCTGCGCGCCGATGGTCGCACCGGGTTTCTTCTCCTCCTCATTCTCATCCTCGCTTCCAACTGGACTCTTTGGAGTGTCGCGCTCACTGCAAAATTGTCAGTTCATTTACAACATACAAGATGGTATCATGAAGGAAGTTAGGGATTCTAGTAGGAAACATCATGAAACAGTCAAGTAAGGAGTTCGGGCAAAGCGTTGAGAAAGTGTCAAAAACTCAACGGATGGGAACGGAGCATTCTCGTAAGAAAAGGTAGATACTTACTGCACGAAGGTCGGTGCGGGCCTCAGGGGGCGTAAGGGAAGTGTCATTCGCAGCGCCATCTTTGTTGAGGCTTTGATTTCGTTTGGTTGCAAGAATGAAATGTATGTATGTCGCGGTCGAGACGCGATGTTGGGGTGCTGTTAGGAAAAGACGATTCGCAATGTTGGCCCGCCTGGAAGAAAAAGCTTTGGGAGAAAGAGTATGCTCACTCTCCGTCAGGTGAAAACTTCTCTTTTCATGGAATACGGCTCTTAGTCTCGGAGTATTCGGCCCACAGAGGGTCTGAGGGTCACATGGCTGGGTCTGGGGAAATTTGAAGGTGAAGCCAGGTAAGGTATATTTGGCAGTAGCTGAACGCTGTTCAAGTGAGCAACTACTTTCCAACTGAAACGTCTGTTTTTTATTCACAATCGCTTTACTTACCAGACCATCAGAAGACGGGGGGAAATGGCTAGCTTAGGGGAGATGAACTCGAGACTTCCCAAGCCAGACTCGAGCGTCGCCTGTACGTCTGGTCGATTTTTCGGGGGCACCCTTGCCGTTTCTTCTCTTGGTGATCTTTGTGTGCCTTTGCGTCGTTGAAAGTCCCCGAGTCATAGAGCCTCCGTGTTGCGCGTTTCCTTTTAATCACGAGCTTTGGTATGTTGAATGGGGAAACGAGGCTCACTTACGGGGAGACTTTCTATAGTATCATGGCAAGAGGTATTGCGTTCTGAGATGATTCCCCTTCCATTGACGAACTTAGCGCGGCTCAAGTCACTATCTAACAATCCGCCTACTTTCCAGCCTTATATAGTTACATCCGGTCAAGACCCATGAAGTTGCCTTTGCCAAGCATTGCATCGGTGACAGAGCTCATTCCATTAGCCCTAAAGTACTCCTGAATCTGAGATGAATCCCACGCCGCCTGGCCCTGGCTTCTCTGCTGTCGATTGAGTTCAGGAAGAGCAGCATCCCAAAGATGACGGATGAATAGTTTGTCTCCATGTTGGTCCAATTCTTGACGTTTGTCATCTCATGAATCAGTCTATCTTGCCATTTGATCTTCTCCTCTTGGCACTTGAGCTTCTATTCCCTGGCCTCAAGCTCCTTTTCGTGGCCCATAGACTGCTCTTTCCAGAAGCGAATTTGCTCTTCTGGAGTCTTTTTTTTCAATATCTTCGTAGACATCCGCGATCCGGGTCTTCTTCATCGTGTGCTGGATCCCCTCCGTCCCATCATCCTCAAGGTGACGCTCCTTCGTCCAGATCGCTTCCTGTCCGAGCTATTAGCCATCCGTCTTTTGTCGTTCATGTCGTGAAACTTACTGTACTTTCGGACGCTAGGTTCCACGGCGGCAATGAAGGCATCGACGGTCTGAAGGAAGCTAAGAAACTCCGATGGGACGGACGACTTGTCGGCGTTGCCGTTCAGGAAGCGAACACGGGCTTCTGTGAACTTGAACATGATGCCAGGAATTTTCTTGTGGGAGACTTCGAAATTCCAAGATTGATCGGTATCATAGTGACGGAGATTCTGGAAGGTCGAGATCCAGAGAACTTTCATCTGCGAAGTCCCATCGTTCAACCCATGAGAGCGAAGAGCCACCCGGAAAACAGTCTGAAGTCGGCGAGCGACGGATTGCATGCCGGAAGCTGATCGCGGATTCTTGAAGGTATCGAATGGGAGCACAATATTCCGCAGAAGGCCCGAGTACCACTGCTGGAGAATAGGCTCATCATCCGCAACACCGAAATCGAAGGCTGGGAGGCCCTTAATGTTGGGATGATTGGCGTAGTTCGTGAGAGATGGCTTCGTGTCATTGCCGTTCTGGTCATCTCCCTGGCCGCCTTCGTTCGAGGCATTGTCCGCTTCGGCATCCGAGCTGTTTTGAAGGTCAGATCATATCAAGTCGCGAGTAGCAGCATGGGCGTACAGTATGTTCATGCCAGGTTCTCCAGGGCGCAATGGCAGAGCGAACTCCTTGTCCGCCAACATCGTGGTGTTGTTGGTTTGGATTCCTCCTTCTCTCATGAGGTAGCCGAGTTGGAAGAGAAAAGATGGTTGCAATGGAGAGGATGGAGGGTCGACGCGATGAAATTGGACTCCGGATAGGAAACAATCAAGGTGAAAAGGCTACTAGTGAATCACTCCAGATCCGGCAACCTGTTAGGCATTTGTGGGAAAGGTGAAGGTGAAGTCGGAGGCCAGTCACGTGCTTATGAACATGGTGCGGGATGGACAGGATATAGGCTGCTTCACCTTCGGAGTTTTCATCAGCAGTAAAAGGCACTCCTGCCCAGAAGCTTAAGATGGTTATACCCCTAATCCTGAAGTACAGAGCTACCGAGTGCTGTAGCTGTTACTTTCGAGTCATCATGTGGGCATTGCTTCTTTCTTTTTTCTAATTTCATCGTTCGCTACTTTGATCGAGCTCGAATGGTTTCATGGACCGACCATGATGCTTGGAGCAATCATTTGGGAACGTACTTTACCCATCAATACAGCAGTACAGCAAATGTTACGAGACTATCTGTCAGTTGATAATGGGCGTTGTCACGATTGCAACTCATCCCAGCCCCTTTTCATGACAACCAAGATGTCTGTCAGATTCTTGACTACCTGACTTTCAAAACTCAGAACTCCCAGGTCTAATTCCCCGCATTTTTGTGGAATATTTACCTTGTGAATGCTTTCTTGAAGGCCAGAAACAGGGTGCACAGGAGAGATGGCCAGTCTCGAGGATGGATGAAGTCGTCGTCGCCGGGTAAACTCTGGAGAAGCCACTCATGGCGGTCCTTTGCGGGGGCGGGTCATGCTTTCCGCTGTGGCTAAACTCCGGGGCGTTGTGGACCAGTAGCGCGGTTTAGTGAGACCAGGGGTCTGCGGGGGGCATGTCCCAATCGGGCATCACAGCCAGCAACGGGGAGCTGTGTGACTTCTCAACCCGAATACGCCCCACGTCCGGTCGAAAGTCTAACGTATTGTCATGATAGTCCGATGTGTTTGGCCACCGGCTGCTGTCCCGACATCGCGGCTTTAAATCTAGCTGGCATGGGTACGTCCATGTATAAAAACCATGATGTCCAGGAAGCTGACTTTACTAGGTTGACGATCTAATTACCCCGCTGTCATCGTTCATCACCTGTGCATTTTTCGTCGTGGACAAGAACATCTCGAAGCCTTCTTTCGCCAGTCATGGATACACCCTACCCCGAACTCGTCTGGATTCAGACGTCGCCCGGAACATGGCAGCGCAGCATCGATGAGGTCGAGGAGTTCTACGCCTCCATGCCCGTCCTCTACGAGGGCAGCGGCCTCATGTTCTTCGCCATCACCGGCCACATCTCTCTGACCTTCGACACCGCCGGTATCAAAGAGTCTTCCGATGCTGCTAAACGCGTCGACGAAGCCCTCAAGAGTGCCTGGCTAGCCCTGCGTCACGACCATCCCACCATCGCCTCCCAAGTCACTCGGGACCTCACCACGGGCAAATGGACAAAGACGTACCAGCAACTCCAAGATGAAGCTGACCAGCAGTCTTGGATCAATAAGACTCTCGTCTCCATCTCCACCGGACAAACCGGCGTAGTATGGGCCAACTCTCAACCGCCAGCCCCAAAGATCCCAACCCTCTTCATCCTCAGCCCACCATCCACCACCATCAACCTCATCCGCCGGGACCTCGTCCTCCGCTCCCCGCACGACATCATAGACGGCATCGGCACCCTCGCCCTCCTCAACAACCTCATCACCCACGCCTCAAAAGCATTCTCCTCGCCCACCACCCCTAATCCCCTGAACTTCACCGGCTCTGAGGCAGCAAACCTCAGCCCGCCCTACCGGATCGCAGCAAACGTGCCCCCAACCCTCACCGAATCCCAAACCGCACGCCTAGCCACAATGGCCGCCCAGAAGTCCGAAGCAATGAATCCCCCACCCGGCACCCAACTCATCGACATGCCCTACCGCCGCGGCCAGCTCCTCCCCGGCCGGCACCAACGCGTCGCAATCACCCTCACGCAAGATCAAACAGCCCGCCTCACCGCAGCGTGTAAATCCGCCGGCGCGACGGTGACGCACGCCTTTCACGCCGCCATCGCCCTCGTGGTCCGCGACATCCAACCACCGTCGATCCGCGGTCCCGAAACGAAACGCGTGCGATACGTGAATTACATCCTACGTAACGAGCGTGCAAGCTGCCAGCCGCCGTACGACTCCTCTCAACACCCCGCTGCGCTGTACCACTCCGTGCCAGGGCAAAGTCTCGTCGTCGACATGGACCTGCCCGCCTCAGGCGACGACGGCAGCAAAAACAACAACGCCAACAAAGATGAATTCCTCCCCGTCGTCCAGATAATGAAAGACTTCTACCACAGCGTCAAAGACGACAAAGAGCACTACGCCCTCGCCTCGACAATCTGGGCTGCAGGAAACCCCACAGTCCCCCTATCCCCAACCCCTCTCCCCGTGCCGCCGCCCAAGGAACACCCTTCGGTGTCAATTTCCAGCATGGGCCGCGTCGACGGCATAATCGCCCCCAAGACGGGCACCATCGAGGCGTATGATCCGTGGGTGACTGGTGAGGAGCTGGGTAACGGGCTGGGTCTATTCTTGGGCACGTTCCGGGGCGAGCTGTGCCTTAGCGCTGCGTTTAACGATGCATGGCATACTGAAGCCGATGTCCTGGATTTCTTGAGACGTTGTAAGGATGTTGTTTTCCGTGGTTTCGGTCTCTCACTTGAGTAAATGGAGGCTTGGCTTCATCATGCCGGCTGTTGTTGAATAGCCTATGTGTTCCATTTCCTTTGAGTGACTCCTTGATACTAAGAAGCAGATGAATCATTAGCTATTTTCAATTTTTTCGCTGGGATGGCTCGTCGTAAATACGCGATATCTGACACGTACAATCAAGATTCACAGAGAGAAGGGAAGATGTTGGTCGAGAAGTCCAAGTAACAAATCCCTTGTAGCTGCATTCCATAAAGTAATGAGACATGACAACCGGGTTCGAGTAATTACAAGCTTACTGGCAGCCATGACTGGTCCCCTGTGTCGCTAGCATTGACAAGGCGTCCAGGCATGGCGCCGAGATCGCCCAGCTTGTCGTTCGCCGCATCGCCTGCAGGATACTGATAGCTACCTCGAACCCAGAACAGCGGGGTTCAGAAACATTCTAGACTACTTCTTTCGCATGTGAGCCAAGACTGCAAGCAACACTGAGTACTGGGCATAGGCTACCAACATACCATTTGCACACCCTCCGAGAAGGCTCCCATACAATACGTACCGCAAAAAATGTCCAGCATTGGAGGAGGCTCCTGGTAGTCAGATTGGATCAACCGTCTTACAAATTCGTCACCGTTAAGTGTTTATCAGGGTGCTTGAGGTCTTGACGGAATAAGCTGTTTTAGATGTCGTTCGCAGCAGCAAGATCACGAGCGGTCCGCAGCTACATCTATTGCGGTTGGCAACAGAGTACGCTTTTCTTTCCAGGCCCATGGCACTTTGGATGATGGATCCCACCCATGTTTGGCAATACAAGCCGAAGATAACAGGTAGGTAAGTTTACGGATGGACAAAAACATTTGACTTCTATGATGATGAAAACTCAGATTGGTTAAGGCGAAAAGCTGTTTGTGGTATGTAAGGACAAAATACTGAAACCATACTTCGCCCAGATTGCTCCCTGTTTCTTGAGCCGCGAGATGCTGTTTTCTTTTCTGGATATAGAAACACAGGCGTGTCTTCGGATATGGCGCTTGCACACAGGTCTAGAAGAATCTGTTGTACATGCGCTTCCACGTAGGCCAAGAAGCGACCTCGGCCTTGTAGCGGTTCATCTCCTCCCAGTCGAGCTCGCGACGTCCAGTATCAACGTCCATCTGATGGGTCCGGAGCCAACCAGTGCGCTTCCAGGCGAAGCCAATGATCCAGAAGACAATGATAACAGGGACAGTGACCATGGCTTCGAAGAATCCAGCGGCATCGTTGAGCTCGTTGCCTTGTCCTGCGGGCGCGATGGCAACAAAGAGCTGCGTTCGAGGTTAGACCGTGTACAAAGAGGAAGCGTCGTGCGATGTATGGAAAGAAGAAAGCTTACTTGAGCAATGAGTACAAGGATGCAGAGAATCAACCCGACCCAGGATCCGGCAACACCGAAGGCAGCCTTGAAAGGGATCTCATCGACAGTGTGTCCGTGGTAGGCCCAAGCCTTGCGGAATCTAATGTGAGCCAGACAGATGGATCCCCATGTGAATAGGGCAGCGAGTGCCGACATGGCAAGGAGCCAGTTGAAGACCGTCTCGCCACTAGCGTCCAAGTTGATGTAGGCAAGGGCGCCGCAGACAAGGTGGACAGCAACCGAGGGCAGAGGACGGCCGGACTTATCGACATAGGTGAAGATCTTGGGAGCATAGCCCTGTTGCGCAAGAGCCGTCAAAGTGCGGGAGCCTCCATAGACGCAAGAAACTCCCAGGGACAGGACTGACACCAAGATGATGGAATTCATGAAGTGATCGTAGCCGTTCAAGCCAGCATACTTGGCGGCCAATACGAACGGCGATGTACCTTCAGCATAAGGGTTGTCGGCACCAAGAATGTTCTCATCGTTGGAGCTGATGAGGAGGCCAACGAAGAAGAGGCCGAGGATGTAAAATAGAGTGATACGCCAGAAGACCTGCTTGATGGCACCTGGCAAGGACTTCAAGGGGTTACTGGATTCGGCAGCGGCCAAGCCAACGAGCTCGGTACCAGCGAATGAGAATGCAGCAGTAACGAATACGGCGCAGAATCCTTTAAAGCCGTTCTTGAATGCGCCAGGGTCGTACCAGTATCGCGCACCCCAGTACTCGTCATAGCGGCCACCGGCAGGGCCACCGCCGCACACCAGCACTAGAGCCACAATCATGAAGATGACTGCAGAAGGTGTGAGTACGTTGTAAAGGTCACAAAGTGTGTGAGCTTACCGATGGCCGAGAGCTTGAGGAGGGACGACCAGAATTCTTCCTCGGCATATCCCAGAGTTCCGAAAATGTTGATGAAGGTAATTGCAGCCCAGAAAACTGTGATCCAAACAGCGAGACTGATGTCTCTGGCTCCTTCCCAGTAATTGATTGTCAAACCACAAACCGTCAACTCGAGAGGTAGGACGATGGCCCACTGTGATTTGTAGGTTAGATACGTGGTTATACTCGAAAGAGGCTTGTTTGGTCCGAGAGGTAAAGTGGCTTACTTGAAAGACGTAGTTCCATCCCATCGCAAAGCCCCAAGAAGGATCAATGAACCGAGTCGAGTATACGTAGAAGCCACCAGACACAGGGTACATAACAGCCAGTTCACCAAGAGCGTAGACAACATTGAACATCATGATACCAATAATCGAGAAATCGAGAAGAATAGAGCCGGGACCCTGTATTTGGTCAGAGCGATACTCGAACATATGCAGGTTATGATAGAACAAACACCGGTAGCTAGCGCACCTCCAGATCCGACGAAAAAGCCGGCACCAATAGAACCGCCTGAACGGGTGGCAAGGTCAGCAAAGATGTCTGCAGAGACGATGTCTTGTTTCCATACCAATAGCAATCATGTGTAAATGACGAGTCTTCATGGTACGGTCGAGCTCAACGATGCCATGTCCATAGTCTCGGCGCTTGAAGGACTCAAAGTTGAGTCCATTGCGAGTGTAGAAGTCCTCGTCGCGCTTCGCACCTCCATGGCTGAGATGACCCTCGCCGATGGCGTTTCCAGGCTTGCTCGGGACGCCCACAGTATGACTTTCGGGTTGGACTTGGGTAGTCTCGGGCGTCGAGACGCCATCATGGACGTCCTTTTCGGTCGCCATGTCGGGCAGGTGTCTACCTTGTTCTTCGGCGCAATCCTCGAGCAGAGAATGATACTGGTATGGCTTGGGGCCTTTTGAGAAAACAAAAGCCTGAGGTGGATCGAACAATGGGATTAGAGGCCCAGGGGCACCAAGTGCAAGGGAGGGATCAGGCGGGCCTGAAGTAGTAGATTGTGGTGAAGCACAAGGAGAGGAGGAAGTCGATTGCGGTCGATAGGAGGACGCGGTGTATTAAAAGGAAGACGCGGCCGATCAGTAATACCGCCTCAACCTCGTCGTCCATCCTATCAGCAATTCCGCATGCTCGCATCCTATTCGGCGTCGCCTTGTCGCGCCGAGAAGCTACTTCTGGACATGGCTATCTGCGGCGAAGGTATGCGGGTGGGATCAGGGCGACGTAAACGCAAGTCGAAGGCGCTAATCGACGAGTGACAGTCCTCACAGGAGAGATGAACAATCCAGAGAGAGTAAGATGGGTGTATGCCAAGGGCCAGAGGAAGGCCAAGTGTTGGGGAAGTGGAGTGAAGCAGACGGGGTGCTAGACGAGAAGAGAAGGTGAAAGTCGAGCTTCCATGGAAGCGTATGATTGACAAATTGCGGGCTCATCGATTAGAGTCTTGGGAGCTGGCAAGCTGGACTCGAGAGAGGGAGACTAGAATGACCATGGGATGGTGGTGGTGGGCGTGGGCGTTGGAGGTCGACGGGGAAGAGAAGAGAGGAATACGACAAGGATGTCGCTTGAACATGGTATGTCGGTGCCATGAGAAGGAGACATGATGGAACATCATGAGAGGTACCTTTACGTACCGGAGTCGTAGCTTGCCATTATCAGCGGAGCCCGCCCGGGCAGCTGCATGGAAGGTCATTCCGCGCCTTCTAGGGGCGTCGGGGGGCGCCGATCTTGGCGGAGAGGTGTGGGTCCTCGGAAGTACCTTAGTGCCTGCTTAGGTAAGGCAGTCGGCGGACGTGGAGGAAGGAGGAACCAGCGGGTGGTGGTGGCCTGGAAGGAGTAGAAGGAAAGGAAAGGGAAGGCGCGAAAGGACCCAGACGCACCTGCCGCGCCCACCTTCCACTCACGACATCCACTGGAACAATTGAAGAAATTATTCTCTATCAACTGTGCCGCTCTCATGCCTTGAGATACTCGACCAAAATCGAGCCTCGGACAAATGCTACCACCATCTTCCATCCTCTCCCGGCATGACTCCCGTCTGACAAGCGCGTCTCCTGCCGGCCGTCCTTGCGCTCACCCGCCGCCCATGGCACCATCAATGACCGTCAATAGCATTCCATCGTCAATAATTCATTTTCTTCCATATCCAGTATTCAGGCACGCGCACGCCATAAGAAGACGGGAAACACCAGTACGATAGCCACATCGATCGCTTAACACTCTAAGCCTTTGATGGACTGCCATTTCGATCCTCCCACGCTTCTCTTCTCCACGAGTGCCTCTCATTTGCGGTTGCAGACTTGGTACGCCTGCCGAGCCCTTGGCCGAACCAAGAACATCACCTCCAGGCCAGTCAGCGTTGAAGTTGGCAGCACAGAATCACACACGCGATTACGTATTCGCAAATTGAAATGAACGAACAAACTCTTCCGAGCGGGTACATGACCGATACTTCCCCGAGACTCCCACAGCTTTCCCCAAGCAGCGCCGCCTGCATTCTCGTTTCCCCTAGCCGCCCAGAGACAAACGATGCACAATCCACAAATATGCGCCATCTCACTCGCCAGCCGAGAAATGCCAACCATCGCCAACAGGTTGGCAATTTTTGGCAGCTTCTATCGACACTTCACGACTGGTACCAAGCACCCGCCAAGTTGTAATATCGGTGTTGGCACCCTCGCCACGGCAAGATAAGCCCCCAACGCCATCCTTTGGGACGCCTTCCACCGG